TTGGTCAAAATGTTGATCATTTTCACATACTTATTTCGCTCGTCCCCAAAAATCCCAAGATTCACAAAATTACGCGTTTCCTAAATGGTGACGTAAATATTTATTCCCGTCGACCAAGCGTCGACCTCGTATTAACGAGTATGTTTAATGTTTATGAAATTGATCGTTAATGACCCCTATTTCACCCTTGTTTACATCCACATATCAATAGTTATTTATACACCAAGGTAGTAAAGAACATTATTATTACCCAGGGACCGAGATTATATCCCGAGGCCTCAGCCGATGGATACATGATCCCGTGGTAATGATATTCTCCACTACCAAGATGTATATTAATATTTTTTCACCACTAGCTATAGAAGTATAGAACCTACCATTATTCACTCCTTTTGAAGGTGTGAAGTGTGGTACAACCAAGGTAGTTTTCGTCATTTTTTAAACCACTAGTCAATAAAGACATAGCCACATCGGTTATATATAGTTAACCCGCGAATTCACTGCTCTGATGAGATATTCGCAGGTAATTTCCCGAAACCATGACAAACAGCCGACTATTATTTTCGTCATAATTCTATCGAGAGTACCTTGTATTTTGACAATTTGAGCTTTAGCGAGAGCTTTAGCTCCAGGGAGTTATTCTATGATTATTTATGTTCATATGGTCGAATTGAATTGTCCCAAAATACAAGTTACTCGAGATGAATTTACGAAAATAATAGTCTCCATTTGTCATGGTCGAGTGATATTCAGGAAGATTATTCATGAACGGTGCAAAAATACTGGTTTAAATGAGTTTCAACATTTTATTCAAGTTACAATTATTCTGCACACTATTTGAATAAAAATTCTTCTGAAGGCCGTCTGGGATATTCTCATCATACACATCACACATATCATGTTTGAGGAAAATGTTGGAGGCTTCACCTTTTTGCATTATGTGCAACCCTGGCACCTTTGAATTTGATATATTCAAATAGATTTGTCTTACGTTTATGCGTTCATTGAAGTAACCTCCTGTATATAGCTTTCCATATCAATTTCAACTGTGTATTCCTAATATTCCTCACCATTCTCCACACCCAATCTTTTAGGATTTGGGCAATTACGAGAGATTGGGTAGTCGCACAAAATTCATAGTTTTTCTGCTGGCAAAAAAACATGAATTGTTCCAAACAGACTCTTTACTCTCCTTGTTATTTTCTGATATCGATTCGCTTACATAATTAAGAATTTCCGTAGTGGAAGTTGAAACGAGACATTTCAATTTTTGAGTGACTGATAGGTATGTCAAAGTTTGACAACCATAGCACTCTTATGCTGGCGAACAGAATAGCCGCTCATATCATATCAAAGGAATTGCACTCGAATCCAGTAGGTATTTATCAATAACTACTTGTCATTATGCTTGTCATGGTGACTAGATTTGAATTAGAATTGTAAAAAAGGTCTTCCATAGTGGCATAGGTCCCCATTTTAAGTTTCACAGAACTATAACGATTGAAATATATTGCTAGTGGCGAAAAAAAATTAATGTACACCTTGGTAATAATAGTTATTTTCCTACAAACGTCAAAAAATGACAAGGTTCGCGCATTAATAACAAATTGCGAAGTGACACTTTTTTTCAGTTTCCTACGTTACCATGATACATTGCACAAAACAATGCGCGAAGTGAAACAGTGCGCGAAGTACCTACTTCGCGCATTGTTACGTAAAATATATGAGATATTTATATTTCAACTTTATGGTCCTCAATCGATCAAACATCCACGAAATCATTTATTTTTTAATGTTCAACAATAACTTTGTTTTATCTCTTGGATCGCACGAAAGGAAATTCCTATTATGTTCGTGGAACATCGTGCGTACCTAGGGAGGATACGGGGAGGCCTTTTTAGCCAATTCAACACTATTTTTTACATCAAGCTAAGCATATTTTACTTTAGAACTATGTTTTCTGCCGTTTGTAGAAAAAATGTTGTTTGCAACTCGAGCGCGAAATACTTTGGTCATCTCGACTATTTTTTTAACTCGGCTACGCCTCGTTAAAAAAATCAGATCTCGATCACCAAAGTAGCATTTCGCGCTCTAGATACAAAAATAACGTCAAAAAATATAGTTCTAAAGTAAAGATATGCTTACCTTACACATAACATGAATTTCCTTACATGCGCTCCAAGAGATGAAACAAAGTTATTGTTGAACATTCAGAAATACATGATTTCGTGGATGTTTGCTCGATTGAGGACCATAAAGTTGAAATATTAATATCTCATATACTTTACATATAACAATGCGCGAATTCGGTACTTCGCGCACTGTTTCACTTCGCGCATTCTTTTGTGCAAGGTATCATGGTAATGCGCGAACCTTTTCATTTTTTGACGTTTGTAGAAAAAGAATATTATTTCCACGTGACCTTATACCCATTCGACTGAAGCCTTAGGATTATAATCTCGGTCCCTGGGTAAAAATTATATTTTTAATACCTTGGTTTGTTTTTTTCATGTTCTGGTTCCCACCAAAAGGGATATCCTGTAATGTTCAGAGAACATCGTGAGAACCAAGGGAAATAAGGTAGGAATTGGTGTTCTTCTTAAATTTCTGGACGTTATATGCCTCAAGGAACTGGATAACACCTCCCTTGGCAATGTGTTCCAGAGCCTCGCTGTTCGTTGGATGAACGAGTCTTTGGAAAGAGATGTTCTGCAGGTCTCCAAAGTGACCACGAAGGGGTGCGAAGCCTCAACTCGACGGGTTAATTTCGCGGGGACTGTCAAGGAAGGAACTTTTGTTGATATTTCAGAAGAGCCTCGTCCATGAAAATATCTATAAAATAGGGCCAGATCGCCAACTTTTCTACGGTGTTCCAGAGAAGTGAGTGAGTTTGTGAACGAGGCATCGCCCACGAGACGGATAGCCCTTTTTTGGACAGAATCCAACAGTTTCAGGGTATGTTTGGGTGCTGCAGTCCAAATATGGGAAAAGTATTCCAGACTGAAAGTGAAATAGCTCCTGGCCCGACACAGAAATCCAAGTTTTTGGTGGAAAATAGTTATTTATACACCAAGGTAGTAAAGCATATCATTATTACCCAGGGACTAAGATTATATCCCGAGGCTTCAGCCGAGGGTTATGAGGTCCAATCATTTTAGTTCTGTGAAACTGAAATATAATCATATACAGGGTATGTCACGACGAGCTTACACTATCTTTATATCGAGAGACAGTCGGGAGAAATCCATGAAAATGTTGCCGCTTCTCCTAGAAAGAAGTAGCAACATTCATATTTCGAAGGTAATACCCTGTATTTTTTCGCATTTTCAGATTCTCCCCGAAGATGATTTTATCGATATATCACATTTGGGTCTATCGAAGACTATTACAGAGATATAGGGTGTTCAAAATCGAGATTTCTCAACTTTAGGTTTTTTGTGTTGAAACTATCCATTATCGGTCAAAATGGCTCACATGTCTCAATCTCAATTTTTTATTCACTATTTTCTAATATTTAATCGGAACAGATACAGGGTGGTTCAAGATTCAGAATTCTGATCAGTAAATAGTAAATCAAAAGTTGAGATAGGGACAAGTAAGTCGTTTCCACCGATAATGAATAGTTTCGACACAAACAAATCCTAAAGTTGAAAATTCTCGATTTTGAACACCCCATATGTCTGTAATCATTTTCGATAGACCACAAATGTGATGTATTGATGAAATCAGCTTTTCAAGGAGAATCTAGAAATGCAATGAAATACAGGGTATTCAATTTGGAATAACAAAGTTGTTGCTACTTTTTGATAGAAGCGGCAGCACTGCATTGCTAAACATATTTTAAATGAAGATAGCGTATTCTAAAATATAAGCTTGCATATGTTCATGGATTTATCCTGACCGATTCTCGATATAGACATAGTGTAAGCTCGTCGTGACATGCCCTGTATATTACTATGAAAGCCGTGATGAAAGCACTTCTTCTCACTTCTAAGTGTGTATCTAGATCTATGGTAGCCATGACCATAACAGAATATAATAAGTCGTTATTGATAAATACCATGAAGAAAACTATTCCTTGGTAGTAAAGACACACTATACTACAAATCATAGTTATTTATTATACAAGGGAAAAAAGTAGTAGATTTTAGCTCTAGGTTGTGTTGTCTCCCGACGCGTAGCGGAGGGAGACAAAAAACCGTGAGCTAAAATCTAATATTTCTCCCGTGTATAATACACTATTTTTTTCTGTGACAGAAGGAAGGACGAATCAATATTGAGAAGATATTACATTATTTCGAAATGTAAAAATTATCGACGTGAAATTTCAAGTTTTTAACAGTAGGGACACCTGCGTTTTATAGACATCTTTATCATTCTTTTGAAGTAATCAAATATCTGATGTCACTTCTGTCAGTTCAATTCTGTGATTTGATTTTAAAAAATTGCGAATTCAGTAGTTCTTTAGTAATATATCAAACCGCGAAGTCGAATGGAAGATAAAAGGACTTGCAGTTCTTTCTCGGAGACGGTATTATTGACTCATTTTTCGGAACTATAGCACAACAAAAGCCATTAACAGAGTATATATATGTGATATATATCCGGGAATAAAGTACTCACTTTTTTCCCACGGGAAAAAAGTAATTTATGAAAAGTGACATTTTATAACCTGCCAACAGAGATGAAATGCCAAACTTTTTTCCCGTCACAGAAAAAAAATATCTATTGAAACAATGAATTGAAATCTCAATTTAGAACTTACTTTGATAGTCATTTTGCTCGGGATGTATAGATACGAGTTCACAGATATAAGAGCTGAATTTTTTCTTCTTTGAAAGATTCGATTCAACTGATGCCAGTTAATTTTTCGTTGTTCTTTTTATACTCCAAAACTTGATAGGCCAGAAGGGCGAATTCGATCACCAGATCTGAATAAACCTGTTGTTATTAGTGTTGAAGGATTATTGAGTAACAGTTTGGAGCTATTATGTACTTACCATCAACCATCAGATTCTGGAAGCCGGTTTCAGAAAGTGCAAGTATACGAAACTGAATTGACCAATACTTTCATTGTTGAGTTCGAGACAGAAGTTATGAAATGTCACACAAAGTATACAGAGTGTTTCCCAACCTCCCTGACAAAATTAGTTAAATGTTGCTCAGTTTTCAAACAGGCGTGTACACAGTTTCGTTCCTTGGAAGGGAGGACATAAATAAAAAATGCAAAACAGACGAAACCATATTATTGCCCAAGGTCAATTTGGGGTTTCATAAAGGTATTGGAAAAAAATGATTTTTTCTGCAACCGACACAAAAGTCGTCCATTTTGATACCAAAATTAGCTCTTAAATTGACGTTTCTATTACTGGCACAAAAATAGGTATGTTGCTAGGCAACATATTTAGTTCCTAGGAGCTAAAGTTGAATTTTAGTTCCTAGGAGCTAAAGTTGAACTTTAGCTCCTAGGAACTAAAAAGGATCTACTGGACGTCATCAAGAATAAACAACATTGTGACGGTTGGTTATTTGGGTTGAGACGCATACCTGATTTGTTTCCGATTTCAGCAGATTTGGCATTTCATACCCATGCTGGAGATATAAATACACCTTTATTATAGTTTAGTATTGGAATTATAAACATCTCAGTTAAGTATTTTTGTTTTGATCAGGGAAGCCTTCAAGATTCAAATACTTGCTTGATCTGTATTTCATTCGTTATTCTCGGGATGGATAACTTGTTTTTGAATAATCACGGCAAGCAATAGTTTTTTTCTACAAACGTCAAAAAATGACAAGGTTCGCGCATTGACAACAAATTGCGAAGTGACACTTTTTTTCAGTTTCCTACGTTACAATGATACCTTGCACAAGACAATGCGCGAAGTACCTACTTCGCGCACTGTTATGTAAAATATATGAGATATTTATATTTCAACGTAATGGTCCACAATCGAGCAAACATCCACGAAATCATTTATTACTGAATGTTCAATAAATAACTTCGTTTCATCTTTTGGAGCGCACGAATAAAGGAAATTCCTATTATGTTCGTGGAACTTCGTGCGTACCTAGGGAGGATCGGGGGAGGTCATTAAAGCCTGTTCAACACTATTCTTTATATCAAGCTGAGCATATATCCACTTCAGAACAATATTTTTTGAGGTTTGTAGAAAAAATGTTGTTTGCAACTCGAGCGCGAAATACTTTGGTCATCTCGACTATTTTTTTAACTCGGCTACGCCTCGTTAAAAAAATCAGATCTCGATCACCAAAGTAGCATTTCGCGCTCTAGATACAAAAATAACTATTTTGTCTCAAACAACGATATTGTTTAGCGTTTAGCTTCATTTGATCATCAAGTCAAACACAGTGTAGTATGGAGAGGAATAAATAATCACTATTATCATTGTTGATATGCTCACTAACCTAACATTTTCCACGTCTTGTTCCTATAGTTGACACTGGCACGGTATTTGCCATTAGAGCACCTGGTCCATACACATATGTCACTCTGTGGTTGAATTTATATTGAAACTACAATTCGAACATCCTAGAAAACCTAATCTGCTGTTAATGCATGTAGAATATTCTCACCACATGGATTATTTGTCAATATTTGTTGCATTGCATACATATGGCACGGCATTGGTGGTTACTTCACATGTTTATTTGAGTTAATTGTTTCGGTTGCAGAAAAAATAGCATGTTTCATTCGGATCAAAAGTGACTTTGTTCGACTCGCAAATTTTGCTTTCGCTCGTCAAACAAAGTGTCACTTTTGATCCTAATAAAACAATCTACTATTAAATTCAGTTAGAATTTCAATACTCTCAAAGACAACAAAAATCGAATTATAAATGTCAAGTTTACTTCGACCCGAAAAAAAAACCGAATATAAGTCGGTAAGACAATTCAATGAATACATTATTAAATCACATTATTGTTGATGGTTTTCTTCAATTTCCACACTGGATACTCTACAAATTGAGACGTTTCCACAGATTTAATACTTTTCTGACAACGCAAGTTCCAGAAAACATTACATATAAACACCATCGAAACATTTTTATATAATTTTGATTGTCATGCTTTCAAAAAATGTTAAGTTTCGGTTTTCCGCTGAAAAGTTAGGCCAAATTTTTTCCGATCTCATGATGAATGAATCACAGTGGCTTACGGGATTTTATATTTACAGGGTGAGTCGGGTGGAACGCACCAAACTCCAGGTGTGTATTGTACACGTAAAAATAAATTGAAAAAAAAAACATATGTTCTGACACGATTATCATTTGTTTTCGTTTCAAATTTGAATAAAGTCTCATAAAATGCCACACATCTTATAGAACATATGGGGTTTTAAAGCTTTTATTTAACTTGCATTGTATATTTGTATGGATGTATATGTATGTATGTTCGGGTGGAATCTTTGAACTCAATTTTGAAGTAGAAATCTTCAACCGATTGAGCTGAAATTTTGTATACACGTTCAGTTTGGATGACAATGAACGATATGGTGTGTCATTTTATTCTAAATCCAATAAGGCGGACTATCCAAGATGGCGGAATAGCTATTTTTGATATACTTTTACAATATGGGTATCAAATGAAAAGGCTCGTTGAAAGTTACTCAAAAAATGATGTGACGTCATTTTAAATCGAATATGGCGGATCACCCAAGATGGCAGAATGGTCATTTTTAATCTACTTCTACAATATGGGTATCAAATGAAAGGGCTCGTTGAGAGTAATTCGAAAAATATCGTGATGTTATTCTTAATCCAATATGGCGGATTATTCAAGATGGCGGAATAGCTGGTTTTGATATACTTTCACAATATGGGTATCAAATGAAGAGGCTCGTTGAGAGTAACTCGAAAAACGATGTGACGTCATTCTAAATCCATTATGGCGGACCATCCAAGATGACGGATTGGTCATTTTCAATATACTTCTACAATATGGGTATCAAATAAAAAGGCTCGTTGAGAGTGAATCGAAAAATCCAGCTAGCGGTAACTAAAAATTAAAAAATAAATTAAAAGTAAAAAAAAACTTTTCAATAAAAAGCTTTCATTTACACGCTCTAAAAAGAAGAAAATGAAATTTTTCTTAATAATTTTAACTATCAACTTATAACCTCATTATACACAATTTATATGATCATGAGAGCTTGTCGCGATGATCAATATTTAATTAAATTGTAATTTCAAAAACTTTATCTCAGCAGATTTTACAAAATTAAATGAGTACTAGTTCATTCACACAAGTGAATCGCGCGACAAACTTTCAAGATCATATAAATTGTGTATAATGAACACAAAATTTTGATAAAAATGCGTTTTGATGTGTCTAACATTTGATGAACTCCATATCAGGCTCCATCTTCAAGAAAACTCATGAAGAATTCAATAACTAATAAAAAACGAGTCGAGTTATATAAACAAAAAATATCGAAACAAAATCAAATCAGTGGATCTCAGAGGAGTGAAAGGGCACCCATATTTGAGGTTTTGCGTTATATCCTTGGTATATTGAATATTTCTGACACTCTGTAACATGAAATAATTTTTATGGTTTTAACAGTCTGTTCTAATGTTTCAGGATTGTAATTCACATAGATACGACTCCTCAGTACTTTTTGTTCTCCCTCATATATTTTTTATCGCTTGGTGCGCACGAAAGGAATCCCAATAATGTTCGAAGAACATTGTTCGTACCTATAAGGAGGAAAGGGAAAGGAGGTAGGTGTTGGAATTTATTTTGAACTTCTGGAGATTATGAGTTCTTGGAAATACATCCTCAGGCAATGATTTCCAGATCTCTGTCGTTCTATAGAGACACGAGTTTTGGTATAGTGCTATTCGACATATACTGCATTTGACAAGGAAAGGATGTGCTGACTGCGCTTGTCCAATTCGTCTGACTGGTATTGCTAATCGTGGAATGATACCAGAGATTTCTGAAGAACATTTCCCGTGGAAGTATCTATAGAATGGTAAAAGGTCGCAGACCATTCTAGGGTGTTCCAGTGATGTCAAAGTGTAAGTGAGTGTGGCATCACCCACCAGGCGAATAGCTCTTCTCTGGATGGACTCTAAGAGCACCAGAGTATGTTTGGGTGCTGAGTCCCATATGTGAGCACAGTATTCTAGAACAGGCCGTATCTGTGCTATGTAAACCATGAGGAGCTGTTGGGATGTAAAGTAGCTTTTCGCACGTAGCTCTTGTGAAGCAGCTTCGCGATGGATCTGACATGATTGTCCCATGAAAGAGTATTGCTGATGGCCATACCCAGAATAGATATAGTTGACTTGGTGGTAATGGTCTTACCAGACATTGTTGTATCATCAGGCATACTGAGTTCCGTCTTTCTAGAGAAAATACAGGCTTGAGTTTTTGTAGAGTTGAATTCGACTAGGTTGTTGGTTCCCCAGGGTGTGATTATAGCAAGATCTTCGTTGCCAGCATTGACACGCCTTCGTCGTGAGTTCTCAGTTTCCTGGGAGGAAATGGGAATTCTGGGAAAGAACGTAGTATTGAGAGTGCTATCATCTGCGAAGCAGTGGATAGGGCAAGTGGTTGATATGAAGTAGGAACAATGTTGGTGCCAAAATTGATCATTGTGGAACGCCGGAATTGATGGCAATGGTATCAGATGATACACCGTCCACCACCACGTGTAGTGATCTGCCTGAAAGAAAACTCGACAAGAGATGATGATGATAGTTTGTGAAGAAGACCTGGGTGCCAAACACGGTCGAATGCCCCGTAGGCAAGTAGATCTCCCGTTGATCTTCGGTGGTGAAAGCCATATTATCTACGATTGATGATTCCTGAGCTTTCCAGATATTCGATTAGCTGAATGTTGTGGGCTTTCTCCATCACTTTGGGGATCAACTGATAACAGGTCGATAGGCCTGTAGCTGTTGGGCCGGTTTTTGTTCATTTTATTGGAAATTGGTTGGACTCTAGCTATCTTCCAGCATGATGGAAAAATACCCGATTTGTACTAGATGGTGAATAACTGGCAGAGAATGAGTGTCAATTCTGGTGCACATTTTTTGAGGATTATGGGT